CAACAAAAATCCTAGGCAGGAATGAATGAGTGACTAAACAGCATACAAGATGCATCCATATTACTATCTGGGCCCAGAGTGTTTCATGCAGAGGAGTGGCAGGTTTATAGACCTTAAATTAAAATGCCAATTTCATGAGATGGTGGAAAGAAATTAAGGGTAGATCTTGGGAGATGCTGGTATACAGCTGGCAGAGAGAGGAAAATGAACATATATGGAAGCAATCAACTATAGAAGGAGGGTCAGGAGTGTGGTATCATAGAGAAAATGGAAATTTCAAGAAGTAATGGGCAACTGTGGTGAATAGCCCAGAAAAGTAGTCATTCTAGTATCAAATTAAAACTACTAGATTTTTCATTTAGATTCTTATTGTTGGCTGTTACTACAGAGTTTTAGTAGCATGGGTTAGACGGTATGAATTGACGAATATGTAGAAGGAAAATGAAGGCAATGCCTATGAACTATTAAAAGAATGGATAGTAAAGCAAAGATGAGATATAGGGTGTCATGGGATCAGTTTACATGGAAGGATGGTGCCTCTTTTCCAGGGCTAAGTTTCTTTCCAAGTTCATGTTCTAGTTGTAATGTTATTCACCATCCCAAGTGATGAAGGGTGTCACTGTTTAATTAAGGGTATTTGTGTATCGGGATTCTTGCAAAACTTTCTAATAGCTTTCAGAATATTCTAGCAATGTTGAAAGAAGTAAAGATACACTTGAATTATATTTGAGGGTCCCTCCCCCATTTTATCACTTTACTCTTTACTTAATGGTTCTTATATTCTTGAAAGATGAAATCATTATTTTTAGTGAAAATGCTTCGTGCTAAAAGATATAGCTGGTCTGTTGTTAGATAGGGCCCATATTTCTCTTTACTCCTGGGATAGAAGAATTCAGAATACTTGCCTGTGGCAGTGGATAAAACACCGATCTTGTCTTTGATTCTCAATGCTTTCAGACATCTGAATTCTAGAGAATTCTAGGAGCTTCTGAAAATGTAGCTCAGATGAGGATATTTCTTTGGAGAATCTCCCCTTTGATGGGTCTGAGGGCAGCTTTGCTGTGAAAAATCTAAGCAATTACTAATGAAGAAGTTTCTTTTCTCTCTTTGCATTCTGGCCCATCCTGAATATCATCAAAGGATTCTAGAATGTTTTACTTTCTCCAGACCTCTGACTGTGTGAAACTTTCGAAGCACTTACTTTCTTTCAGAATTTCTCTCCTCTGATGGAGAAATGCTCTGCACTGCTCCCTTCGAGAGAAAGTCCCTCGTCATAGTTACAGGTCAGCTTTCCTCAGCCTACTTTGCTCCCCAGCTCCCCTCCTCTACCTTACTGTGCTGGCAAGTAGCCACCACTTACGATCACAGATCTCCCTCGGAGGACGTTTAGCACCTATTTCTTTTTTTTTTTTTGAGAGAGATTTTTCACTGTAGGGCGCGTGCGCTCGCCAGACAGACAGAGAGAGACATAGAGACAGAAAGCGAGAAATCACCCCCCAGGGGGGATGGTCACGCTGCAATCCCCTCTCCTCCATTCTCCTCTCGGGATCTTGGGCACGCACGCACACGCACCCGGCATGAGTTTTAAGCCACCGGGTCCGGGACACAAACCGCGGTCGACCACGTGGGAGTCCAGCGACATAGCCATTACGCTAACTGCTGGTTCCCAGCACCTATTTCTTAAGACTCAGGTTGGGTTCATCTTCTCCTGATAACTCCTTTTCTGACCTTCATCCCAGCACACCCTACTCAGTGTAGAGGGTCCCTACTGTGTTCTCTTAACTGTTAACAGCCCTTACAAATGCTAATGCACCTCTTTACTGACAGACTTTTCTCCATATTCTCAGCTCCATTCTATGTGTGTCTATTCAACAAATATCTACTGAGCACCCATTTGATGCCAGGAACCATTCTATTTACTGGAAACATAACAGAAGATCAAACACAGACACACAAAAAATTTCTTGTTTATTGGATTGTATTTGTAATAGAGACACAATAAACAGATAAGTAAAAATGAAATGACTTGATGAATATTATGGTTAAAAAGAGAAAGACAGAGCATTGGGGCTGAGGATGTCAGATAGAAGGGATATACTCTTTTAAAATGGATAGACTTCATTGAGCAGGTAACATTTAAGCAGAGACTTGCAGGAAGTGAGAGAGTGAGCCATGAGGCTGTGTAGCCAAAGAGCATTCTAGATGGAGAGAAAGCAAGTGCAAAAGCCCAGAGATAGGATTATCTTTGGGAAGTAGGAGCACCGTAGATGCGTTTAAGAGGCAGTAAGGAGAGTAGGGCTGCTAGAGTGGAATGATTAAAAGGGAGCAAGAGAGCAGATAAAATCAGAGAGGTTGCAAAAAGCCGACTCATATAGAATCTCATAGGCATTATAGACACTGGCTTGTTCTCTGAGCAAGTCAGAGGGTTTTGAAAAGATGAATAGCATAACACAACTTACATTGAAAAGGATCTCTCTGGACACTGGTTTATAATAGCTATAGGGAGCAAGTGCAAACCATGCAAACAGAAGACTTAGTGACAGTCTAGGCAGGAGATGCAGTGGATCAGAAGCCTAGGAAGTAAGGAGGAGCATGAAGAGGTGCAAGTCTTGATATATTCTGAAAGTACTGTTAAAAGATTTAAAAGTCAACTGAAGTATCTATATGTGGAAAGAAGGAACTAAACTTAGGAAAAAACTGATATTCATTTTCTACCTCTATTTAGAGAAAAGGATATTTTATTTACCACAATCTAAAGGTAAAATATATTTTTTTGGCAGTAAAAATAGTATTGTATTCCACTGCTCCCATCTTTGGTACACTTTTCCTCCTCTTGTTCCCTCAGCAGCTATACGATCAGGAAAAATTAAAAAAGAGTTTCAGGGGCAGGATTGGGGGGCTGAGGAGAGGGCATAATGGTAAAAACAGTCAAATCAAAATAGAAATTTTTCAAAATATGTTATTCCACTTAGTCATTGTCTTCTCTTACATCTTCAGGTTCTCCTTCTCAGTTTAGACCCCTTTCTTCTTTTCCAAATCTTCTTTTCTTCCTCATTACTCCTTCCCCTTTGTCATCCTTTGTCATATTCCTCCTCATCTTCCTCATTGTCATCCAGGCCCTCCACTTAGCTCTCAGCGTCTGTGTTGGGGCCCCTTGTTGTCCTGGGCAGAGCGGTGGAGATACATGAGATGAGGGAGGAGCTTGAACATGTTCTCAGAAGGCATTCTGGTTGGTCACCTCACAACGGAAAAGATCTAAGCTCTTGAGGTTTTTCTAACCTTGTCAGTGGCTCTACTATAATGAGGTCTTTAATTCTGTTGCCACTTAAATTTAGATGTGTGCGCTTCTCAAACTATTCTGCCAATACTTCCAATCCCTCTGAGAGTTTGTTATTGCTTAGCTCAAGCTTTTTTTTTAAGAATTATTTTATTCAACTTTATTTGTTTATTTCAATTTGACTGGAGAGGTATAGAATGAGAGAGAGAGCAAGAGAGAAAATGAGAAAGCAAGCTGCCAGATCTGGGACTCAAACCATGTTCAACCATGTCAGAGTATAACACTCTTAACCACCATGCCACCTGCTGACCCCAAGTTAAAGCTTCTCTAATTTAACTTTGGTAAGTTTGCTACTGAGTAGAGGCCTACATTGATTGTACTTGAGAATTCCAGTTCTTCAAATTCACCTGTGAAGTCTTTGATTTTTGCCTGCATTGGATTCACAGTTGTCCAGGACAAGTTCTTTCATAGCAGAGGGTGTCTGGTTCCGCAGCTCTGAATTAATCTGTTTTTCCTTGTCCATTTACACACTCTCTCAGTACAATAAAGTATTAAAATAATTATAATAGCAATAAGGTAAATAAATAATGATTATGCAGCCATATAGACCCATCCTCATCATATAACTTTTTAAATTTTATCCATAGTAATGTGTAAGTTTTTTCCTGGATTTTTAACTTCCTGAATCAAAGGTTAATGTAGATATTTTAAAAAATAAAAATGATAGCAGTTACATAACTAGCTCTAAAGATTATTTATAAAATAGTGATAAGTTTCAGAAGACTAAAAGTTATGTCCTCATGGCTTTGTATACTGCATCATGTTTAAAATTTTTGACTTACCTAGTCATTAGTTTTTAGTAAATATTCATTCAGTAGACCTTTTTTTTTAACCAGGATATGTGCAAATATTGAGCAAAATATACTTATTTTTGTTTATTTATTTATTCCATTTTTTAAAGAGGTTTTACCTTATAGCACATGTGCTTGCTGGAGAGAGAGAAAAAGAGACAATGAAAGAAAGTGAGAAATCACCCCATAGAAGTTATGGCCATGCCGCAGTCCCTTCTCCTCCTATCTCCTTCCGGAATTTTAGGCACTCATGAACATACGCTCTGCATGATTTTCAAGCCTCCTGGTCCAGAACTTGAACTGTGGTCAACCATGTGGGAGTCCACTGATGTAATTGCTATGCCATTTGCTGGCCTCAAAATATACATATTTTTACTCTTCCAAAATTTATAATTTCTTCTAGAAGATAGACTGACCGGGATAAAATGAACAATAAATAAATATAAAAACATAGCATAGGGTATTTTCATTAAATAAATGTAAAGGGTTTTGTGAGCATAAATAACACAGGGTAGTGATCATTCCATTTCTTTCATTAGAAAGCACTTATGTGGTCACATGGAGGGCTAAATTATTAATAGTTTAGTTGAATATGAAAGAACTTAGAAAAAACAGATTAATTCAGAACTGCAGAACCAGACACCCTCTGCTAAATGGGTCTGAAGCTTAAAACAAAGGTCCAGGCAGAGAAATAAGAGTTTTTCCCCAGATTTAATGAATCACAAAATATCTCAATCTAAATACTTTCAATTGCAAGTTCAGCTGATACATACATATCTATGAACACATGTCTGACTTTAGGCATAAAACTCAGTGAGTAGAAAGAACATACATAAAGTAGCACCTTTCTGAGGCTATATAGCTTACTGTGATTATTAAATATGTATTTTTACATGTATTTTTAATTTCAAGAAAAGCAATTTTAGCTTTGATAAATCAAAATCAGAAAATGTTAAGAGAAATTTGGTTAAGACTTAAAGCCAGGAAAAAGATTAGGATTCTGTTCAAATAGAATGGTAGGTGAACCTATCAACAGCTTTAGAAACAACAAAAATCCTTAAATCTGGAAAACAAAGTATAGAGGAAAATTAGTTATGTTTTAGTCAAAAGTCATAAAATTATATTTCACCAGTTCAGTCTCATGTAATTTATTGCTCTTCTGTTGTGGTCCTATGTTTCTGTTTAAATTCTGGAAGTTAACAATCAACTCCGGACTTGTCCCTACAATTAAGTTGGCCAATTTCTTGTTTGTTTTTTGGACTCTTATTTCTATGTGTCTGTCTTTAGTTTTCCTGGTACAACGCTCCATTCAGAACTTCTTGGAGAGCTGGTCTGGTGTTGGTAAATTCTTTTACGTTTTGTTTATCTGAAAATATTCTTGTCTTCCCATATGAAGGATAATCTTGCCTGGTATAGTATTCTTGGTTGAAATTGTTTTTCACTTAACACTTTGAATATATTTTCCCATTCTTTCCTTGCTTGTGTTGTTTCCAATGAGATCCACTGTTAGCCTGATGGGATATCCCTTGTAAGTAACCTGACGTTACTCTCTTGCCAATTTTAGTATCTTGTCTTTGTCTGTGGTTTTGGTCAATTTGGCTATGATGTGCCTTAGAAAAGATCTTGGATTAATTATGTTTGGGGTCCTATGTATTTCTTGGGTCTGGGTATTAGAATGCCTATCTAGGTTTGGAAAGTTTTCTTCCAGGATTTCATGGAATAGATTATCAATGACCTTATTTTCATCACCTAGAATACCTATTATCCAGATATTTGGATGTTTAATGGTATGTAGTATTTCTTGTGTACTATTCTCATTTTTTGTGTTATTTTCTCAGTCTTTGTGGTGGATTTTTCTAGGCCAGAGATTTTGTTTTCTACATCTGAGATTTGATCTTCTGCAAGATCTAATCATTTTTTAATACTTTCAAGGGAAGTTTTGATTTCCTATATTACAGCCTTCATCTCTAATAGTTCCATTTGATTATTTTTTATGGTGTGTATTTCCTCTTTCAGATCAAGCAAGAACTTCCTCACCTCTGGGAACTTGTGCCTTTTCTCCTGCATCTTCTGGAGTTCATTGTTTCCCTCCTCTTGCATCTCTGTTAGCTTTGTCACAATGAATATTCTAAATGTTTTATCAGACATTTCCACAACTTCCATTGTGCTGTTTGTGGGTGATGAGTTGTTCTTTTCCTTTGGAGGAGAGATATTTTCTTGTTTTCTCATATTTTTTGTGCCTTTGTGGTAGTTTCTGGTCATCTAATGGATTGTGCATTTCTTTCTAACTTCTTGAAGTTCAGTCTGAGCATTCAGAGGCGTGCAGGAGGAGGTAGCCTGCAATCTCTCTGCAGTTCCAATTTTCTTCTTTTGTGTAGCAGATTCACTGGGAATTGAGGATTATTCTGACCCTAATACTATTCAGATGTTTGGCTACCGTTCACTTAGACCTGTCTAGACACAGTGTGTGGAGGCTAAGTAGCAAAGTGATAAAAGGTGAAAAGAAAAAGGGAAAGTGGACAAAAACAAAGAAAAAAAGAAAGAAAAACACTAATAAAAATAACTTTAAATAAAATGAAAAGTGTGCCACGCGAAACAGATTGGTCACAGCTCAAATGCAGATGTCTTCTTAGAGGGCCTGTGCTTTGTCTCTCCCACTCTAGACTGGAGTCTGAAGGGCAAAGCCTAAGCATAAAATCTTCAGTAGTCCTAGGCCCTGAAACAGATTTGTCACAGCTCAAATGCAGAGGTCTTCTCTGAGAAATAAGTTTAGAAGCATTTGGCACACACACTCAAATAAATATGGAGGGAAAAGAATAGAGTCTAAAATTGAGCCGTAGAGAATTATGGTATTTAATGGCTGGGAAGAGCTGTTAAAGGTAACTAAGGAATAGACTCGAGAGGTAGGCACAAAACCAAGGAAGCATGAGATCATGGAAGCCAGGAGAGACGTACAGAACCAAGGGATGACATCTGAATGCTGAATTCGAATGAGAGGTCTACAGTGGGAACTAAAACACATACTTCAGAAATAGGAAAATGGGAACAATTGGTGGCCTTCATAAGAATCATTTGGGTAGAGACACGGGAGCAGATATCAGAGTAGGGTGTGTTGAAGAGTCAGAAATTAGGGCTTTGTGGGAAGCTGGAAGGAGAACAGTATTTACTAAGTAATAAAAAATGCCAGAACTTTAGTAGGAATACAATATCTAACAGTACCTTGTGCAGCTTGGAGATCCTTGGACACAGCAATCTCCTGCACACTTAACATTATTGCTTTTGTAGAAAATAACTGAAAATGTCAGAGGCAGTGCCTTCTTCATATATCACCAGAAAGAGGGATTTTGTTTTTTTGTAATCTTAACATTTTACTCACATCAGTGTTGTAGTATCTTAGACTTCATTTATTTTAAGTCAAAAGAATGATAACTATTTCTGAAGACTAAATACTTTGTTTGGTCTTACTTAATGATGAATCACTGATAATTTAGGGGCACAGACACATCTATTTTTCCCATCTTAATCAGTGCCAAATCAAACTTTGAGAGACAGAACATTCCTGATTTCCCCTAGAACTGCTATATTCTTTTAAATGTTTTATGTGCATTTTCTCCACAGATTGCAAGACAACAGCAGCAGCTTCTGCAGCAACAACACAAAATCAATTTGCTTCAGCAACAGATCCAGGTCAGAAATCATAATTCCATTATACTTGCAATTAATATATATATATATATATATATAGTTTCCTAGTCTTATATGACCTAACTAAAATGACCTTCTAAAAGATAAAATTGCTTTTAGCCTACTTCATGACAAGAGGCCTCCTGTGCCAGGTGAATCTTGAAAATGGTGGCACTTTGTCACAGGCCGGTTCTACTGTTTTGGGGAGCTTTAATCCAAGCAAGCCGGTAAAATTTTCATTTTTCACTGAGAAGAACTTAATGTAGAAAAAGGTTTCATTTTCTCCATACTTTAGTGTTTGTAAAGTATGCCTGTAAGAGTAGGTACTGGGAACTGAAGCAGGAAAGTACAGCAAGTTCTCAATTAGAAACAAAGTACCAGAGTACTTCCTTACTGCATGCAGGAGAGCCACAAGTGACAGAGGCAGAACTAGGGGAGATACTGCATCATTGCTCAAGTTGATTTCCACCTGTAATACTGCCTGAAGAAACCAACTCTGAGGGCTCTACTTCCTCCATATTTTTCATACATGGAATTTTGTAATGATAAGAAACAGATAAAGAAAGAAGGAAACAGCAATATTGGTAACAAAAGGGTTGTCAGAAATGTTCTGTCTCTACCACTTGCTAGCAGCATGAATACTAACAAAATTCTTCGTTCCTTTATCTGAAAATTCCCTTTCTGAAATGTACACTTCATAAAGATTTTGTAAGGATTAAGTAAAACGGTGGATGTAGGAGTTAGCATAGCACCAGGGCACATAGTGAGTACTCACTGAGTACTTGCTGTGACTATCAAGGAATATATTGTAATTCATGGAATCATCATCATCCTTCTAAAGGCACCTGGTGGATTTCCAGATTTTCAAGACCATCATATCTTGAAAATCTGATTATTTTAGTAAGTGTAAATATTATATATGACAAAAGCAAACATGCCATAATGATTTGTTTTGTGTACCAACCTCCTTTTAACTTCCTTGCCAACAGATTTTCTCCTATTTTATCTAACTGGATCAGGTACATTAATTTCTTAACCCTGGATTATATGAGTCAATTCTTTCTTGTTCTTGGCAGTTTAGTGAGCTAGTGACAACTTCAGTGGGACAGTGAAATAACCCCACCCAGGGTCTTTGTCTTCCTTGACTACTATTATGAGTAGCCCATTGCTAGTGTGCTAGCCGGTCAGAGTGTGGTCAGTCAATTCAATAATTTAAAACTGTTCATTGGATTTTATGTTGTTCATCCAGAGCATACTGATTTTGAATATAGTTTCAGTCAATGGTATCAGGTTATCTGCACTTACAATGTTTTTGATGATTGAAACACTGAAATTATGGCAATTTCTCATTATAAATAAGATATAATTCTGCACTCAGTGGTGTGACAAGTCATTCAATTCCATTGTGATGTAACGGTGATAGTTTTAGCATTTTTAATTTCTACAAGACAGACAAATCTTATAAAACAAAATTTCAAAAGTGTAGCTATATCCATTTTATAAATATGTGTAAGGCTCAATAAGCTATGTGTTTTGACCAATTAGATTAACCAACACCTTCAGTGCTTTTGGGGGGATTATTCCACAATTATGACCACTACATTGATAATGTGGATTTTAAGCGCTGACATAATGAGGGAATATTGAAATAGATGGATTTCTTGCTCCAGGTCGGGGAGTACTATAATTTATGTCAGAGTGGTTTTGTGTGTGTGTGTTTCTTTTTTGTTTTTTGTTTTTGAGAAGTTTTTGCTATAGGGCGCATGCACTCACCACCAGAAAGACAGAGAGAGACAGAAAGACAGCGAGAAATCACCCCCCAGGGGGGATGGCCACACTGCAATCCCTTCTTCTCCATTCTCCTCTTGGGATCTTGGGCATGTACGCACACGCGCCGGGTGTGAGTTTAAGCCACCAGGTCTGGGACTCGAACCACGGTCGACTACATGAGAGTTCAGCGACATAGCCATTACATAACTGCTGGACCCCTATATCAGAGTGTTTTTGAAATCTAAAGCACTTTAAAAGTGATCTGTCCTAGAAATAGTGTGACTGTAGAAACTATTCCAGACAACGGGGCCTAGATGACTTACCCAAGATCACAAGTAGACACTAGTAGAACTAGGATCAAAAGTGAAATCTTCTGACTATTATTGGAGATTTTTGAGTATGAGAGACATTTTTAAGAATTATTTTCTTAAATGTTATTTATCACTATTGCAAAATTTTTTTCTATAGAACACATTTACTCACCAGAGAGAGACAGAGAAGGAGCAAACCTCCAGTCTGGGACTTGAACCATGATTGGCCATATGGGAATCCAGCATCTTAACCACCATGCCACCTCCTGGCCCTGAATATGAGTTCTCAAAGCTTAGGAATTCTCTTGGATCAAAATGTCAAGCTGCTGTCCTCCATTAGTTCACAGAGTGAAAATAAAAAGTCTCTAAAGGAAGTAACTTAACACTGAAAGTAATTTGAGGGAAACATTAAGAGATCTTAAGACATTAGGACCAGCAGAAGACACAATGGTTAGGTTGCTGAACTCCCATGTGGTTGACCATGGTTCAAGTCCCAGACATGGTGTCTTAAAATTTATGCTGGGCACATGTGTATGCATGCCCAAAATCCCAAGAGTAGAATGGAGGAAAAGGGATTGCGGCATGGCCATCCTCCCTGGGGGTAGAGGGGGGTTTCTTGTTTTCTGTCTCTCTGTTTCTTAGGTGAGTGCACACACCCTGTAACAAAAATCTCTCTCTAAAAAAATAAAAAAGAGAGAGACAGATCTTAAGACATCAAATCTATGTACTTACCATTTTACTAAGGTTAATACAGATAAATGAAACTGATGGAGTCAAAACCCATCATATGTATTATTTTTAAGTTTGAAAAGTAAGGAATGTTTTGTTGAACCTTTGTTCTTTGAAGTACTGAGCAAGTATGACAATATGAAAAAAAATTATTTTCACAGCTTCTCATATATTCATTAACAAAAAGCTTATTTATTTTATTTTTTAGCTTGCTACTGGGCTAGTGCTCTCACTGGAGAAAGAGACAAAAAGGGAGAGGCAAAGTGAAAAAACACCCTATATAGAGAATGGCCGTGCTGCATTCCCTTTCCTTCATGCTCCTTTAGGGATTTTTTTTTTTTTTTTGAGAAGTTTTTGCTATAGCGAGCTTGCGCTCACCAGAAAGACAGACAGAGACAGAAAGCGAGAAATCACACCCCCCTCGCCCCTCAGAGGGGATGGCAGTCCCTTCTCCTCCATTCTCCTCTCGGGATCTTGGGCACGCACGCACATATGCCTACCATGCGTTTAAGCCACCAGGTCCAGGACTTGAACCATGTTGACTACATGGGAGTCCAGCAACATAGCCATTATGCTAACTGCTGGTCCCCCATTAGGGATTTTTTAGGTACATACCCACATGTGCCTAGTGTCTTTTTCAAGCCACCAGGTCTGGGACTCGAACTAAAAAATTCACTGTGTGGGATACAGCTGCCTTAACTGCCTTACAACCTACTGGCCCTCAAAGCATATTTTAAAATATAGGTTAAGTTAAATTTGAGAAAGTCGTACAAGTACTTAATAGTTACAAAACACAAAAAACATTTGAGTTATTCAGTTCACTGAGAGATTGTATAAACAATTGAGAAGTATTGATGTAGTGGTATGTGTATAAATAGAAAATTTAAAATGTAGTGTACAAATGTTTCCCCCACATAAATCCTTACTATATCTCTTTTTAGAACATCATCTTCCTTCTTTCTCCTTCTTTCCACTGCTTCCTTTTCCTTGAAAGGATGGGATAAGGAGGAAGGGAATAGAAATAGAACCTGCTATAGTGGAAGGCAACTTAAATTTATAACAAACATTATAACATTTATTTTAGTCAGAAATGCATATTTAACCAAATGCTCACTTAAGAATTTACCAACAATTAAATTTTATTTAATATTTGAAAATACTCATCTAACATTTTGATCTATTCTTCTTTTTGAAATATAGAGCCTTCTCACCTGGTAGAAATAATCATTTCAACCTACATTATTTATTCTGATTGCATTTTCTTAGATGTGTACCATTGTTGTTGCTCTGGACTTTAGAATACAATGTGTTTTAGTTCCTGTATTGATTGAATAGCATTCAATCCACAATTCTACTATTCAAGCCACAATTAAAGCTGCCTTTAAAATTTTTGTTGAGGTTATAAATACAAAAGGTTTTAAGTTGGTCCAAATGTTAGTAAAAACGTACGGTACTATAAATGGGTTTGACAGATTTGCTAGATGGATTAGATTGATTAGGTTAAGAGTTACAGCAGGAAAATTTTTCAACTTGATGGATATGTTAATATCCAGACAGGAAGGATAATGTTCCCCAATATTTTCCTCATTCTTCTAGAGAGCTCTTTCTAGAGGATAGGTTCATTTAGACATCTTATTCTATTTCAAATATATGGCATTAAGTATGAACAAATTTGTATATTTATATGCACAAGCATTCACATATTCTAAAAACCCAGGTTATTAAAAATTGATTATCTTTTCTCAACACCTGATGAAAAGAGTGATGGTATGTTTTACTTGACTTATTTATTCAAAGAGAAAATTCTATCAGATTTTGCAAGTGAACCAGTTTTATTTCTTTGGTTAAGATCAGTTCCTTATACACTGTTTTTACTTCTTTGAAAGCAAATTTGACTCTAAAATTGCATAATTTGAATTGAATTGACTAGTCCATCTTCATTTCTCCTTCATAAAGACTACATAGGGTTACAGTCTTCTGCCAGGTTTATTCGTATAATGTTAGGGGTAAAAGGAGAGTAAGGAGGGCCAGCCTCACAGTATCTGGTTAAGTACTATGTAGTAGAAGCCAGATACCCCATGGTCAATCATGATATGAATTCTGGTCCTGGTTTCTTGCAAAACACACAGGATATGTGTGCATGAATGTGTGCAGGTCTCAAATCCTGAGGAGATGCGAAAATGAAGAAAAAAG